AGGTTGAAAGTGTAAAATAGTAACTTTATTAACTGTAGAGTTATAAGTCTAGTCCCAAGACTTATTCAGAAAACTATTTGATCGAACTCTGTCGACTCAAGGTCAACTTACAGGTCTATTTATATAAAATTGACAACTAGTACTATACTACGCTTTTAGATAAATATAAATAATACATATAATGAAAACTAGATAATAAAATATAAGTAATAAAAGGAAGACTATATAATATTTATTTTAAAAAGTAAATTATTCGATACATGTATTATAAAGTCGATCAAACGATACATGATTTTCGGCGCAGTTGAAGATCATCTAAGGCGCAGTATTATTTGCCTTACTCTTTCAATAATACATTATTTTTTTTTTATATCATTCTAATAGGCAGATAGATAGTAGATTCTTAATGTTTAACTTTTCGCGGTCCAGAATATTGGAGGAGTGGGGACCACCATTATATTGAAAGACTCTTTAGTGACGGATACTTGTAGTTTGGCAATTATTTATGGGAAGTATCTTTTGATTATTATTTATTTCTCCTTTATTAATGTCTAGGCAGATGCTAAAGGGCCATCGTATAGTTAAATAATGCTCACTTCCCTTTAGATTCTGACTGTCCGATCGTGTCCCACATCCCTTTAACTGCTTTTGATTAATGATGTGGTTAGTAAAAAATTTTTTGGCTTCAAAAGGAGAAGCATTTTCTGATGGGATCCTTTGTATTTAGCTAAGAGAGACGGCTTAGTACTTGGATACAGACGCTTCCTAGGATTTGTCTATCCATCCTCTTAGAAGTGTTTGCCTTTACACGTGAAAGTTTTCTTCGAGTAGTTGGTCTCTTTTCACACGAATTTCTTTAAGGAAGCAAACATAACCTTTGAACACACCATTGTTGACATTAGTGGTTTTTATTTTCATTTTCAGTCCTTCACTTTCCAATATTCTCCACTAACTTCTTCTTTCCTTTATTTTACGTCCGAAAAGACTTAAAATATACGGTAGGATGGCGTTTCTTTTATCGTCAATTGAGAAATGATTAGTACTAAATATTCTTTGATCCATTTTTTTTTTTTGGATTATCCCATTTTCTTTACTTTTTTAATCTTCTAAGGTAGAATATTATAAAAGTTGAAGTCAAAAAAAAAATTTGAAAAGACGAATGTCCAACAATTTTTGATAATTTCTCTTTTTTATTTAGATCCGACGTATCAAAAACGAAAGTAACTACTACGACTTCTCGAAACACAAATGAAGGTTTATTTATTTAAAATTGAAAGAAAAATCTTGTTTAAATATAAAAGTCTAATAACGTGCGTGTTATTGGCGTTATTAATAATTTCATTTAAATACTTCTTTTAATATTTGTTTGTAATAGGGAGCATTCATTAAATAACCGTTCAGAATTATAAAATGCGTGAAACTTGGCCAGATATTATGGGGTAGATTGAGAAATCATCAATTAATTGGATTCAACAAGTCAAACGAAAACTTTCATTATGGAAATTCCAACTAGAAGGAAAAAGTAAGAATGATCGAATTCATTTCCTAATTAATCATTTTATAATTATTTTTTTTTGTTTTATAACCCAAAAGATACGGGAAATATCATGGTTCAAAAAAAAAAAAATTATTATTTTTTTTTTTTTAACTAATTATGCATTCGCGAAAAATTTTTCCTTACTAAAGAAATACCCCCTAAAAACGGAAATGATTTTTGATATAAAAACATTTCTAAACCATCATTCGCAAAACTTTGAGAAAAAAAGGAAATCGAAATTTTCCGAATGGAAAACTTCAGTAAGGAACGGACTGTGAACCGGCGAATAAAGGTATCGCTTAAAGATTACGACTCAGAATGAAATATCGTTTCCTTATAAGAATTTCTTGTGTACCGAGATATTTATTTTTATTAATACTAATCACAAACAATTGTGGTGGTTTTAATTACAGATAAAATTTTAATTTATAATCAATGAAAATTTAATGCAATAATAAAAAATAAAAATGATAAAGAATAAATTGTCCTTATCGATAAATTCTCTTTGCCATTTTATGATATTTTTCAGGCATGATTTGAGGATACAAAAAATTTCGTTGCTGATACATTAAATTTATTTCTCACAACTCGCTTCAAAGTAAGACAACGAGTGACAAGCAAAAAGTTGACCGTTGATAACCTGGGATTATACGAAACCAAATCCATAAGCAAGTTCATATATATAACTAAGGACACGAAGTTGTTTGTAATTGAAGAATAGAATTTTATAATTTGTAGAAGTTTCTCAAGGAATGTTAATACAATACCTTTGAAAATTCTATCGACAACCAGGTCGAACCCAACTTTATTATATAGTATAAGATGGTAATACAGATACTGTATTTTATATAATAATAATAAATATAATAATATAATAACTGCGTTGCGCAGTATTGAGCGTTTATAAAAAATTAATAATTTAATAAGAATATTTTTCTCCAAGACAACCTTTTTCGGTGACTTTTTAAGCTTTTCTTTTCGTTATGTAAACATCTAATTCAACACAATAATTCACCAAAGAATATGCCTTCTTTAGAGGCGAATTCATATCAACCAAGTTAATATCATATTTCGAATACATTAAAGCTAATAAAGTTTTGATGTTAATCATTGCTAAATATCTTCCTGGACATATCCTCAATCCACCTCCAAAAGGAATGAAACTGTTTTTGGCAATTTTCTTGCTTGAGTCTTTCATAAATCTATTTGGATTAAATTCTTCAGGATCTTTCCAATTTGCGTTATTCATGTGAATTCCATGTACATGTTGAAAATAAGTTACCCCTTTCTCCCATTTCATATTGGCAACTTCATCTAATTCATTACTGGAGCTAGATTGACGGAATACTGAAGGGGCAACTGGCATCAACCGAGCAGTTTCTTTCACTACAGCTTCACAGAATTCCAATTTATCGATATCTTCCAAGGTGAGTAGACGGTTTTCGTTCATGGAATTTGGCGGTCCTAATAAACCATCAATTTCTTCAATGAGACGTTGTTTATATTGGGGATATTTACTCAGGTAGTAAACTATAAAGCATAAACTATTTGCCGACGTATCAATTCCACCAGTCAATACATCAAACATACTATACATAATTTCTTCATCGGTTAAAGGTCTGGAAAATTCATCAATGTTATTGATCCGCTTGGAATCCATTTCGGTATTTGTAGTACAAAATAGTGTAAGTAGATCAGAGTTTGATGTTCTGCCTCCCTCCTTTAATTCATTTCTGGTCTCCTTCACAATCTTCAATATTTCACTCTTCGACCAACTCATACTCTTTAAAAACTTTTGTCGATAAAACATAAATGGAGGAACGTAATTCCTTAAAAATTTTGGTATGAAATAAAAAAATTGAAGTGCATGTAACCAAGTTCTTATCGCTTCAATGAATTCTTCTGAATCACATGACGTTTTTGGAATCGTCGTTTTCAACTCTTTGGAGTTGACAAGTCGATTATAATATAACGCCAACGTATATGATCTTTTTCCTGTTAAAGCTGGAAATATCGTATCCGTGGTGAACCTTTTCATCCAATTTGGAAGGTCAAAGACGATATTTTCTGCTGAAGTTGATGATGATTTAAAGTCTTGATTGAGGTTTTCCCAATATTGATCCATTTCATCGAATGAATTTTTAGTAAATTCAACGAATAGTCTAAGGAATGATGGTACCATCAAAGACTGAGTTAAAATTTTTCTATTAAACCTCCAACTGGTTACATCATTATTAAACCCGACTCCATTTGATGTTATACCAAGCTCATCAAGTCCTTCGCTAGCGGATCTAATATTAAATGGTGTTTTTGTAGATGAACTAAAAAGTTTTTCAATCAAATCGCTTCTATTTAACCAAATGTGTCTTTCTGATCCAACATATATTTCAAAAAGATCACCATACTTTTTTTGTAACGCCAAGGAATATTCTGCCGTATCCCCCGACAATATAAGATTATGAATATTTCCAATTAATGGAAGTGGTAAAGGACCTGGAAGTGGATTTCTTCTCGTAAAATATTTGTAATAATAATATGATACATAAGAAATGATAATTAAAGTGAATATTGTGGTCAACTCATTGACCGTGGATAACGATATTAATGACATTTTTGCAAATTTAAAAGTTATCAAAAGAAAGAATCGAAACGAAATTATTTATATAAATTTTTAAAAAAAAAAATCATTGGTTTAGGAATTTCCGCTTTTTCGTACGTAATATGTAACATTAGTTAAACAATTATTATATGTCTTATGAAATGATTTGTAAAAAAAGCGTTATTAAATTCGTGTGACATTGCGTTGGAAAAATTATTATTCATTTCATTGTTAAAATAACGATCAATCTTCGGACAGATACGCCCAATTTGTTTATTCTCTGTATAATTTAAGCATAAAGATATAATTAGCTTTCGAGTTACGTTCATCAAATTTCTAATTTCATAACAAAGTATGGTAAATCAGATTCAAAGAATTGCGTAAAAAAAAAACGCATTAACTTAGTTATCTTGAACTTTATCACGTGATAACGCAAAAAAATTGGGTAAAGTTGGTCCTTTTTATTTTCAGGTAATATTAATTTAAATTTCTGTCAGAAATCTTTTTATATTTTCAAGTTTATAATCTTGAAATTGTTTTAAATGCAAGTCATAAAAAATTACTTTTACACGCCTCCTTAATGTTAGCATTACTCTTCATTTTTTTCCCTATTTATTGGAATTGAAATGAACTCAAGACCGATAATAAAAAATTCGAGACTGCCTCAGTATTTCTGCTGGTGTTAATTATTATTATTATTATTATTATTATTATTACTAGTGCCCGCGAGATCCAATCCATCGAGTCACAGGTGATATTATGACTGGAATTATAATTCACAACACATGTGGCACAAAACTTAATGTCTCGAAATTTAAAATTGAACAAATAAATATTTTATTAAATCCTTTTTATATGATTTTTCTAAAATTCACACTAATTATAAATCGATATCGAATTGGTCTAATAAATAATAGCAATTCGTTATAAATTTGTAGTCGCTTATAAATTAATATTTTTTCAAAATGGAATATCTATAAATAATTGAAGCTACCTGTATTTATTATGCAGTTCATTAGGATAATGCACTTTTTTATACTTTTCATATACTATTATTATTAAAATATAATTTAAAGATGCTCTTTTGTGACTTACTTAATAATACAGTTATTGGATGGGAAGGTAACACATCGGCCACCCCTTTAACGGGGCGGGGTGACCGATATTTTTACCCCATACAATAACTTGTTTGGTGCCTCATTTATGTAAATACTTGACTTATACTAAAAAGAATTAAACCTAGCAAAAATACATTTTGACGAATCATAAATTCTCTCTTTGATAATTGCATCAATTAACACTTTCGGTTAGAGCTGGTATTACGGTTGATCAACTAATTTGAGAAAATAGATCGCTGTAAAGCTTGTACCATATTGCTTAACCTTATGCAGAATTATTATATTCTACACCAATTAAGTCGATAGTTGTAATTCAGATGATCTTCGGGGCGGGGTCCAATCACGAAATGCCAATTTTTTTTTTTACAATTTCGTAAATACAGTAGCTGTCGACTTATTTCAAATTTTATATTTCAGTCTTAGCATACTAATAAAATTTATCTTTTTAGCTGATTATAATATTTAAAGCAAGAAAATAGCATTTAATTTCGCGGCATTTATTTATTAAATTTTATAACATTTAAATTTCCAATCTTAATTTATTTATTTTTTTTTTTTTAAGGATTTATTTTTCTTATATTTTTCGTTTTGTTTTCTTTTACTTCTTTTTTTTACTTTCTATTTTTAAAATTATAACGTAAGTATCCTTTATTTGATAATTTTTTTATTGTTGAATCGATTGAATGTAAGTTTTTCTTTTTTATTTTTATTTTTTGTTTTTCTATTTCTTTTAATTTGATTTTATTTTCGTTCAGGTTTTTCGATCGCATCGGATGCTGCGTCAGTTAATAAGTATCTATTTATTTTCTTTTCATTTTCATTTTTATCTTTTTTTTTTAAAAACTTCAGACAAAAGTGATCCAACCTGAAAAAGCAATTTAATTAGAAGATCATATTTACAAATAGGAAAGGAATTCCCACCTTTACGAGTTATCTGTATAATTTCTATTTTTGAAGCTGAGAATTAAAGAAAAAAATAAATAAAAGTTTAATAATTACTTATAGAAATGTTTAAATTTATTTTGATTAGCTGGTTAGTTTTTGTCTTTTTTAATCAGTCATTCTTTAATTTATTTTCATTCCTTGGTTTAATCAAATATACACTCCCTGGCCAAAAGTTTAGGACCACCTCGAAATTTGCGAAATAATCGACATTTAACCCTAGTTAATACATAATTAACTAAAATAAAATTAGAATTTTGTGTAAT